GGTAAGAGTTTCTTCTTTTTTTAATATGCCATTGTATAAATATACCACAGCTTCTGTATTATACCATGACACAGATTAGAAGAATTAACATCATTAAAATGTTGATACTACCCAAAGCAATGTAAGCATTAAACACAATTCCTATTAAAATACCAATGACATATTCACAAAACTAAAACAAATATTCCAAAAATTTATATGGAACCAAAAAATACCCCAAGTAGCCATAGCAAACTTTCAAAAGAAAAACAAAGCTGGAGGTGTAACAACCCCATAGTATAATATCTAATTATACTATAAGGCCACTGCAATAAAGACAGCTTGGTATAGGCAAAATAATAGACATTTAGATCAATGGAATAGAACAGAGAGGTCAGGAATAAACACACAACTTTATGATCAACTATTTGACAAAGGTGGCAAGGGCATACAATATGGCAAAGAGAGTCTCTTCAATAAACAGTGTTGGGAAAACTGGACTGTTACAGGCAAAAAAATGAAACTAGACCACCAACTTACATCATACCCAAGAATAAGTGCAAAATGGATAAAAGACTTAAATATAACTCACAAAACCATAAAAATCCTAGTAGAAAACATAGACAGTAAAATCTCAGATATCTAATGTAGCAATATTTTTGCCCATATATCTCCTAGGGCAAGGGAAATACAGGAGAAAATAAACAAATGTGACTACATCAAATTAAAAAGCTTCTGCATATGAAAAAAAAAAACACTACTCACGGGTTTTAACTAAAATCATGTGCACAGGTATACTTGTTACCTGGATACTTGTTCTACATTCATAATTGCTACAAACTAGAAACAACAGAAACATACTTCCTATGGTTAACTGATTTAAAAAAGTCATGGTTTCATGGTTGTAGCTGCATACTATAATGGGATTTGATAGTAAAACTCAATAAATTTCCTACACATGCAACACACGGATGAATGTCAAGAGCTAAGTGAAGGAATTAAAGCAAAATAGCTATGTACAAACTGTATAATTCCATTTTTATGATATTTTTATGATATTTTATAAAAACTAAAACTACAGAGTTAGACATTTTTTTAAAATGGTTTCCAGGGCCTAGTGTTGGTGGGGAAAGGGTTCCTCAAAGCAGCCCATGGGACATTTTGGGAGTGATTAAAATTTGTACATGTGGACCTTAGTGATGTTTACATGAAGGTATGCATATTTGTTAAAACTCAGAACTGTGCATCAAAAGATTGTGTAATTTACTATATTTAAGTTATACTCCACCCCAAAAAAGCATAGATACAGAAAACAAACTGATGGTTGCCAGATGGACTGAAGACCTGGGTAATTAAGGTGAAGGGATTAAGAAGTGCAAATTAATATTTACCTAAAACAACAGCAAAAGAAACAGAAAAAAGGATAAGTAACTATGACTTCTACCATCTATTAGCCTCCAGAGTAATCTCAGATGCACTATTTTGTCAAAGTGGAGGCAAAATCAGAACATAGATATAAATAGTGTTAAAGGCTACTGCGAAGGTGATAGGGGACTTAAGTGTTGGAAAATTTTAGTTTAAGGTAAATAGTTATAAACCTAGTATGTAATGTATATGTTAAAGCTTTTGTTTAAGATCCTACAGATGAGGCCCGTCCTGGCTCCTGGGAAAACAGCCAACCTGCTGGGGCACTGCTAAAGATTACCACCTGGGGACAAGTGGAGGCACCTGGGCCTTTGTGTTCCAAGGAGAGACAGATGACCACCCACTGCTGGGAATAGCTAACTGCCCAGGGTGAGCATATTGCAGTTTTTTAATGTAATTCTCCCTGAATTTCAATCCCCCTCACTGCACTTTGTTCTCTGTTATAAAAATGCTGGCTTCTAAAGAAAATGTAAGATGGTCTGTTAGGGTATGAACCCGCCATCTTCTCAGATTGCTGGTCATCTGAATAAAGCACCCATAAAGATTCAATCTGTCTCTGCTTATTGGGTTTGGTGGTGACAGGCAGCCTGAACACCAGTGTCTTTTCCGGTTTCAAAGGGAGCACTGGTTTAGAAATTTCGATTTAATGTGTGCCCCAATGGAGTGCCTACATGGACTCAAATTTTCTGAAAAATGATTGGCTTGCCTCTATTTTATAGTACAAAGTTAAACCTCAGTAAAGACTTTCTCAGAAGTATTCACTTGGCATAATAGTTTTTTGTCCTTTTCCTCACCTCCACCCAGCCCCACCCTCTCCCTTCATTATGTCAATCCACATCCATTGTCTGTGTCCATGGGTTGTGTATAAATATTCTTTGGTTAATCCCTTTACCACCTTTCATCCAGTCCCCTCTCCCTTCTGGCAGCTGTCAGTCTATTCTATGTACCTATGCTTCTGTTCTGTTTTGTTAGTTTATTGTACTCATTAGATTCCACATATAAGTAAGAAGTATAAATACTTTGAAATGACCAGCAATTTATAAAAGAATTTGTATGAACATCCAACAATACATGAAAAAGATTCTATTGTGTATTAATAATCAATATAACAATATGTATTAAAGGAATAACAAGGTTTAGTCTAGCATGACAGAAACTTCAAGAAACTGGTTAGTGTGAAGGAAAAGCTGACAAATTGTTACACCTCTGTGGATATGTTTATGCAACAGCAATTTAAGTACATAAAATTAATATACTTTGGGCTACCAATTTAAGTTGAGGATCTCTCTGTAGAAATGCATACACAAGCACACAAAATGATATGTAGTAAAATAGTACAATTATTGATATTTGTGAAATATCAACAATCTAAAAATCAGGGGTACAGTTAATATATTACATTTGTATTATGCAATATTAAGTATCTTTTTATAGAACACAGACATTTTTGGGTTTGTTATAGACATATGTCTCTGATAAATTCATGAGAGCAAAACACAAGGTATAGAAGTATACAAGTTGATGTTGCCTACTAAATTACTTTAAAGTATTTTATTTTCTACTCAAAAAGATAAATTTGGTTTTGTTTTGTTATCACTAGGGGAAAGAATTGGTTTCTTTGACCCTAATTACAGGAAGCATTTTTGTGCATTTTAAATTTTGACATTAATGTACATATTTACATTAAATACTTTTAAGTAGTTATTTTATTGCTAAAAAGCTTAAAACTTTCTAAACAATCAATCCTATCTATACATAGTTCTGGTTTATATGCTTTACCTTCAGCTTGGTTTTCATAAAATAAAGAAATTACTCAGACCTGTATTTTAATAAAATTAAAACTTTTGGTTTCTTCTCTACCAAAGAATGCTCTAAGATGCATAATATCTAAAATATGCTCTCTCCTTTCTTACACCCCTTTGGGAGAAAATAAATTTAAGATCCTTGGCTATGATAGTTCGGAACTTCCAGAGCTTTTTCAATCTCCGCAGAGCCTTTGAGGCACTTGGGAGACCTCTCTTATGGTTAAGGCACATGAAAACTATCACTTCCTTGAAGTCAACTCCTTTTTCTATGCTAAAAAAGGGGAGTCCTGTGTCTTTCAGGGAAAAACAATTTTGTCAACAGACACACCTGAAAGTGCAAAAGTCATTCATCCTACAGTGAGTAAAGTATTTAAGAGATAAGTAATATTAACAACTACCATTGTAAGCATAAGTATACATATACATATAATCTTATATCCTGGGGAAAAGTCAGATTTATCAGAATGTATGTATTCTTTTATATAAAATGTGATGGTTTTATCTATTTTTTAAAATTTATATATTTTATTGTATTTTTTCCATTACCATTTAGTCCCCTTATATCCCCCTACTCCACAATCTCCACAAAAAAATGTGATTTTTTTAAACCAGAGCCTAATCATTTTTTATTGAGGAGATATAGGCAAATTATTTAGTATCTTTTAACTGTCTTCTTTCTTTTAAAATAGAGCTAATAAAACACCTCCTTTGATTTAAGAAAGGTTAACTTTAGTAATATAATTAAAGTTTAGAGTTTTAGGTAGACATTAAATAACTCTCTTTTATCAAGAATAAAGTATTTAAAAATTTCCCTTGTTTATTTTAGTTACATTTTAATGTGCAAAATCACACTGTTATAGGTACAAACCAGTGTTATTTCTCAGTTGATGTATTTATTAATTTATCCATTTATTCATCAATATGTATTTATTGTACACAATCTTACATATATTTCATAAACCCCTGAAGATGCAATGGCAAAGATAATAATGATCCTTGATTGTCATTTAACAGTAGTTATATTAGCATGTAACAAGAGTTGTGATTGTGAAATTCAACTATGTCCATAAACATTCATTTATTAATTGCAGATGATAATTAGAATTTACTCTGGCACTGAATACCAGATATTCAGAATAAAACAACACACTGCCTTCTCACAACAGTTCTTAATTTATTGAGGATGACAGACATGAAGATGTAAGTAAAACAGTGTTGCATTATAATAAAATTATCTATGGGGTAGTAGAAAGTGCCAATTCTACTAATATATTAGAAAAATTCATAATAAAAAATGTTCTATGTAAGATTGGTGATGAAATTTGAAATGAAGCAATTAGTAAAAACTTTGAGTAATATGAAGGCTCGTATGTTTGTGTAAAAATGTGTTGCATCATCTACTTTGAGAAGTGGCAATCTGTAGCTGAAGCTGAGGTTGGAGAGAAGAGCAATAATAAGCAAATAAAGAGCTTTCTAAAACATTTTAATAACTTGACCTTTAGCACATAATTAATTGTAAATCATTTAACTACTTAAACTTAAATATTTAAATAGAAAACAAACATAAAAATCATTTCAGGGTGATCTTTAATGCAATACTGTGGATGATGAATTGGATTAAGACAATAACCAAAATACTATCATCTTCTTGACAGACAAGAAAAAATATCTCAACTCTCACAAAACCATACTGTTAAATGATGAAAAATTTCCAAGAGGGAAGCTGACAGATAAAGGGGGAACAGAGGTTCAGGGCATCATTTTTGCTAAGGCCATACTTGACTATTTGAACTAGTTTTTCCTGCCCTTAAATATCTTGTGTACTGCAGACCTTATCTGTTTAGTTTTTAGGCTATAAACTAAGGGGTTAAGGACAGGGGTCAAGAAGAGGAAGAGATTGGCCATGGTGACATGGAGAAGAGGAGATGCAAATGTACCAAACCTATGAATTAGAGCCAGCACAATAAGTGGCATATAAAAAATGCATACAGTGAAAATGTGAGAAACACAAGTGTTAAGTGCCTTGAATTGGCCATCTTCAGAGGCAATACCCAGCACTGTTCTCAAAATCAGGATGTATGAAATGGCAATGAAGATGAAGTCAACTCCAAAAGAGCAGAGGACAAGGAACAACCCATAGATTATGTTGACTCTGACAGGACCGCAAGCCAGCTTCATAACATCAGGGTGGTAGCAGTAACAATGAGACAGAGTAACATCTTTGCAGAAGGACAATCGCTTAAGCAGGATTGGCAAGGGTGCCATTAATACCACACCCCTAACCAAGGCAGCAAGTCCCATCCCAGTAATCCGAGGAGGGGTTAAGAGCACAGTGTAGTGTAGTGGGTTTCGAATAGCTACAAATCGATCAAATGCCATGGCCAGTAGGATGGCTGACTCCATGAAGGAGAAGGTATGGATAAAGAACATCTGTGTTAGGCAAGAGTGGAACTCAATCTCTCTATGATTTAGGAGGAAGACATTGAGCACTGTAGGTAGAGTTGATAAAGACAGACCTACATCTGTGGCTGCCAACATAGACAGAAAGATATACTGGGGCTCATGAAGACTAAATGTGGTTTTGATAACAAAGAGGATGGTGAAGTTCCCTAAGAGGGCAATTACATACATGACACATAGTGGGATAGAGATCCATATCTGTACAGCCTCTAGTCCAGGAATGCCTATTAGAAGAAGAGTGGGTGGCTGGAACCAGCTATTGTTTATAAACCCCATAAAGGTATTTCTTGAAATACAGCCCAGGTCAGCTTCTAAATGTTCCTATTGAAAGAAAAATATACATTTTAAAACAAGAGGACATAATTCATATGACTCCTCTGGACAGTGCTAATCCTGGGCATCTTTACATCAAGGATTGACCTTCAGAACATTTCCAAACCTATCAGGATAACTACCTGAAGTTAAGGCAATAGGTAACTGTTTTTCAAATGTTAGACTTGTAGAATTCTTTTGGCTTATAACACTCTAATCATTGATCAAGTAACAATGAAAATTATGAATATAATTTTGTTCTTATCCAATAGTTAGAAAAATTTTATTTTCAGAACATTTTCTATTTCTTAATTTACTTATGTTTGCATCTACTTTTATTTTTAGTCACCTTAGCTGAACCTCTAAAATAAGTTTCTACACTTACTCCACATCAACATCATGCCTATAAATATACAGGCATCTGGAAACCTGGACAATTTTCCTCTTATATATATGCAGAAATAAAGCACAAGATATTACAATAAACCACATAAACCCCAAGGCATCATAAAATTTGCATGATAGCATTTTTTAAAAATTAATTTCTAGTTTGTTTGATATGTTCTTTTTAAATAATATATTGATTTTTCAAAATACAAAAAATGTTTAAATCAGCAAAGTGGATATTGTCATTACTTCTCAGCTAGTACTAGAATAGTATCAAACAATAACAAATAATTCCTTAAATGCAATTCAAAATATCTGTATGCAATATAGAAATATATGTTAGGGAATAATAAATACCAATTTTCAGTAGGTATCTTAAAATGGCATAATTGAAGGAAAGAGTATTAGAATTTAAGGTTTGTAGAAAAAGTAGAAAGATATTATATATGAATAAATAAATATAGTTAGATTTAAATCTTTTGTTTAAAATTGCAAGCAGAAACAAAATTATGATGTAACTACATTTGAACATGAAGGATTGGGAGGAAGGGAAGTAATATAACTAACCTTATCTAGAAAAACATGGAATTAAAATTCAATATCTTTATAAAATCATTGTACTTAAAAATATGACTATTCAAAAATAAGAACACAAAAAGAAAAATGAAAAATTAGTGAAAGATTTCTTCTTGATTAAATAGCTATAAACAGGGAAGATTAGAATAAAAGATTAATGTTTTGCTCTTAGCCAAAATTGGAAATACGCAGTTTTAAAATTATGTAAATGTAAAGAAGCAACATTATCTTTTCACAGATGTAAGTATATCTTTGAAGACTAAATCCCAGATGAGTCACAGTGCATACATACCCATCTACTGATGTATAGACGTAACTTGCTCAGTCATCCATTCACATGGTCATGCAGCGAACGTCTTCTATAGTCAAAAAGACTCGTCCATAGTATGCCTAGCAAAGAGCATTTTTCAAAGCATGTGCTTTTAGCTGAGTTACTGAGTTAGCCCCTCATAAGTAGCGCTCCTAATAAGGAGGCCTACTTCTTAAGGACTTAGAATACTAAGCTTTATTTATTTTTTTTAGCTGTTCATATGGAGTATGAAAGTCACTCATATTGAACAAGAAAAAGGAAGACTATCATGGTTTACAATAGACTGGGGTATCCAAATATACTCATATTCAGTCACTCAACACACTGCATTCCATAAAACTCTCTTATAAACATAACAATCTGACCTACCACAATGCACCATGTACTTCATTTAGACATACACAAATACATACATTACAGATTTGTATATACACATATAACCAACTTTTCTCTCTTTGCTTTAACTATCTTCCAGAATATCTTGGAATTCATCCTCCTGTACTTTTTACATGTCACTTATCCTTCCCTTATGTTTTTGGTACCAATCCAATCAGAACAACCACCAAAAGCATTAATGCCACCATCAACACACCTGTAGCCACCCATGTAAAACTCAACTATATACTCAGTTCATATTGCTGCCTATCATTTTGAATACTTCTTAGTCCTATATGCATAGCCCTTTTCTTTTCTTTTCTTTTTCTTTAAGATTTTATTTATTTATTATTAGAGAGGGAAGGAAGGGAGAAAGAGAGAGAGAGAGAGAGAGAGAGAGAGAGAAACATCAGTGTGCAGTTGCCGGGGGCCGTGGCCTGCAACCCAGGTATGTGCCCTGACTGGGAATCGAACCTGCGACACTTTGGTTCGCAGCCTGCGTTCAATCCACTGAGCTACACCAGCCAGGGCTTGCCTAGCCCTTTTCAATGGGAATATCTTTTGTTTCAACTAACTTAATTTTTTCTAATCATGCTCTACTCTAGCCAGGTTTTGTTGCTTAATATCGCCATGTAATACTTAGTCATTTCCACCTCAGAATATTTGTACATCTCCTGATGTAATCTCAAATGTGATCATACTTTGTCGCAATTGATAGTAAGTAAATTCATTGATTAAAAGTCAGTTTACATCCAACATTTTATAAAATCTTTCTATGACTATTTCATATTAGAAAAATGTCTCCAGCTGTTAAATCCCTATGGATTATATTGCTTTTGTTTTAACATTTGTCACTTACTACATATGATTTGATATTATCTCCAACTTTTACCTGAATGAGTTTTCCTTATCCAATTTGACTTTAAATGCCTTTTAAATTTGAATTTCACCCTTCACACATCACAGAGTAAAGACAGTCTAACACTGTTTGGACATGCAAGGAACATAATAAATTTTGCCCAAGCTAATAAATTACATATTTAGAGATTCCCACTGTTGCATATAGTTACTAACTTTTAGCAAATATTTAAAACTCACCAGTGATCAAGGCTTCCTTTTAAGCTTTGATGTAGATATTTGGGTGGGATAATTCTCCCCAGTGGGGTTTATTTTAGAACTGAAGGGTAGATTTCACTAAATTTGAAAAGAGAGCAAGAAAGATGTATAATCAGATAGAGAATATAAATTCTAGTGTTTATCAGTCTGTTCAATTTCCAGTTGTTCTTGTGTTGGGTTTCCACTTATCTATGCTGGATTACTCATCCTAGCCGGAAAGATATTTTACAGACTATTTATGAAGAGCCAAAAGAAATTTAACTATTCTAATTAAGTATTTTACTTTCAACCTCCTGAAAAATCTTTTTAAGACATATAATTTCTTCAGTCTTGTCCCAGAGCCCCTAAACAAAGCTTTGGTTTCTCATGTATGTACTGTGAATTCCCATCAGTTAACCTTCAACTCTGGAACACTTTTCTTGGCTCTTCAATTAAGCTTCTGTAATCTCACCTTTTTTCAACTCTTCATTTTTTTTTCTTTTCTAAGGACACTGAGTTTCCATGACTGTCATTCTGAAGCTAGGTAAAATTTCTGTTAAGCAACTCTTAAAGTTGATGCCACCTATTATTTTAAAGAAAACAGTTCCAACAGTTATTTTTATGCGTTGTGCAATCCCTCCACAAAACCAGTATCCTCAGTATGGATCTTCAAGTGAGTTCAGCAGCATGATTCTCCTTTAGTTTCACCCTCCTTGTCATAGACAAAGAATGGGTGGTTTCTTTTAAGATGTTAGAAACATCTGTCCAGCACCAGAGTTATTTATTGCAATAGAGGATCTTTGATGAAAGTGCCAGAGGGAGGTTATCAAGTATTCCCACGACACAGAGGTTTTAATGAACTACACATGGGATGTCACAAAAACAAATTATTTGGAGGTAAGGGCAATCCAAATTTGCTTTTCTCAACACTCCAGGGCCCTTAGAATCACACATTCAAACATGAAACCAGTTGTATTGCTACTGTTCACCATAAGTATGTGATGAGCTCTTCTTTAGAAGTGATTTTTCCTAAGTGACCTTTAACTATTCAGATTTAGTTTTGATCATTTTAGAGGTAAATCATTTAAAAATGTAATTCTCTACATTCTTTTTCAGAAGCTTAATGCTGGGAACTATTTTTCTCATTACCATTGTGCATGTCCATTATTATATTTTCTCACAATATTGTGATGCTGTAATTTTTTGAGAGATACAGAATAATTAATGTCAGATTGAGTTAGCATGGCCTCATCTTGTTTTTCTCCCCCTTTTCTTTCTGTAAAGCTGTTAGTTGTAAGCTATTTTTCTCTATTTTAAATACTTTATTAAATTTTTGCTGTGTTTATAACTTTTTTCTCTCCTCTCAAAGTTTTAATCTTTATTTCTTACTTTATTAAGAAGCCTAGAATCGAACTGAGTACATAGAAGGCGTTCAGCATATACTACAAGATCAATGAAGAATAAATGGTGCTGGGGACTTTTGCTTTTGGTCAAAATGGAGTAAGAGAGATTGAATTTACCTTCCAATCAAAAACAACCAAAATAATTAGATAAAATGTGTAAAGCCATAGTTTTCAAGACAATGTACATCTGAAAACAAAGAACTATAATCCCTGAGAAAGAGAGAGCAAGACATACAAAATAAATACAAAACATAAATCCTGCAATTGCCTCAGCTTACTGCTTTGAGAGAGTTTCCAGGGCATGGTAGCAGATACCCAGACAGAGCCCATGAGCTCCCTGAGTTGAAAAACCATGGCAGAGAACCAAAGGAGACCAAAGATTCTAAAATTCATTAAACAGAGTACTGGAGAATAGAGAACCAAGTGCACAAAGAAAGAGTTTTGAAAGTTTACAGAGGTTCCCTACAAAGGTTCAGACACCAATTACAATGTGGGTGACAGGGAGGTTTCCATACCACTGTGGAGCAATTATCCAACAATTCAACTCAATTCTTGTGGGAGAATTCCATCCCGCAGAGCTCTCCCAGCTGCCATGGATGAGAATAAGTCGTCCCAAACACAGTCTTGTTGTTCTGGCAGGAAAGGGGATGGTAATTCCTTCTACTGGGGAATGCCTCAAGCCCTTCTCCAACACGACTTTTATTGGGAGTGGTATGTGTAAGTGTACCCAGCATACATGCATAGTTCATCAATCAATGTCAAAAAGGCTATAGCCATACAAAAATAGGTATTATCTATAGATAACAATTGAAGGAACA